GCCGGTGTACACTATCCAAATTAAAAAACAAAAAAAAGGATCCTTCCCTTTTTCGGTGGCTGCTAAACCCCTTGCTTTGGTCTACTTCGTCTTCTCCCCTTTTCTGGTGGCTGTCGAATCCTTTTGCTTTGGTGATTACCGGTGATGAAGGTGGAGGTTGTGATGATGATGAGATGCAAGAAGATTGTCAAGATCGGAGTCCCGAAGGGGGCTTGCGGCTAGATCGGCTTCGTCTTCTCTGGTTTCTTCTTTTTTTTTTATGGCTGCTTGGTGATTGGTGAGGGTGAGGGTGATGGCGATGATAGTGATGCTCAGCAAGGGGATGGTGAAGATCTGAGGTGAAACAACGGAGGTGATGGTGGCGATGGTGGATCTGCAAAAGGAGAAAAATCAAGTTTGTTTTTCTATTTTCTCCTCTCTTTTTTTTTTTTTTTTAATTTTGTTTGGTAGCCGCACATCCTCCTTCTCCCTTTAAAAGGAGGAAACTAGGGTTTTCTTCAATTTGGGTTTTGGTGGGTTGCTCAATATTGGGCTGGGCTTATGAGTTTATTTTAGTAAATTTCATCCTCAGCTTTTTAATTTTTTCAATTGAGTCTTTTTCTTGTTTTTTTTCTTCAACTTCTCCTCAAAAATTTTCATAAATTTTTTTTATAACGATAAATCCGAAATGGTACTAAAAAAATTTCGGTATCCTGTACGTACCGTTCTAGTAACAAAATCGGTATGCATGCTGGTACGGTATTGACTACTTTGATGGGGACAGAGGCTATTTTTTATCCTCCACTAAAAATTCCTGTGGAGTCCTTGTACCCGTCATTAACGGGGATGGGGATGGGGATGGGGAGAGGGTCCCCGCCACCGTGGGGACCCGTTGCCATCCCTAGGTTGGGCAAATTAATTAGTGCGGTTGGGCAAGGAGCCATAACATTTTGCCCTCCCCCCATCCTTTTTTTTTGGGAGGGGTGTGTGAAAGAAAGGTGTCATATCTACCTCTGTAAGTATCTCTTATCTTTCTCCCATATTCCCATGCTTAAGTTTCTTCTTCAACCTTATTTCGTTCCTTCTTCCTTTCTCTGCCAAACCGTCCCTGAACAAAGCTTACAGAGGCTGCTGCAATTCTCAGGTGACTAATTTTCGGTCATCATCCCATCATACATAGCTGTTTTCGGATTAATTTCTTCATAAAAATTTTCAAGTGCTTAAGAATTTCTGCATTTTTTATTCAACAGACTGAAGAGAGAAGGCCTAGGTGAGTGGTTTCTGATTGAATTTTGAACCAAAAATGTGGAAGCTGAAGATTGGAGAGGGCGTCGACGGTCCCTACCTCTACAGCACAAACAACTACGTAGGGAGACAGACATGGGAATTCGATCCCGACGCCGGTACACCTGAAGAAAGAGCCCAAGTGGAAGAAGCTCGCCAGAATTTCTACAGGAACCGCCACCAGGTTAAGCCTTGCGGCGACCTCCTGTGGCGAATGCAGGTATTCCTTTATTCTTCAAGAAAGTTAAAATTAGCATGTTTAAATAGTTCAATCCAACAGTCGAGGTGATGACTCTGTATCCAATAATATCATCTTAACTGCTCATGGTGTTTTCGTAAGACTAACTATAGTTTCTTTATTTCTTTTTTTCCATAATAAATCGGTTTTCCAAAGGAAAATTGATTAAACACAAATTTAGACTAAAATTAGAGTTTAGGGTAATATATACATAGTGAAGGTGTCGAATTCAAGTCACTTCACTTTTCGGTGTGTATAATTATTAGCAGATTAGAGCGGTTTCGGAGGTTTTTCGACAATGGAACACGTATACAAGCGGAGAAGAAAGTGGGAATTTACCAGAAAGAAAAAAGAGACAGTGGATCTGATGGTTTCAGAGCATTTGATATAATTTTGTCTTTGTATATTGTTCGGTTCTGTGGCTGTTTTTTCTTTTTATGGTCTGTTTCCAGAGTTGATAAGTGGAAATTAATGCCAGTTAGTGAGATGGTTCGACCGTCCTTCCTTGAATAATAAAACCTGCATGCTACCGTCTTCATTTCTTATGGTTTGGCACAATATTTTAGCTATTATAATTAGAAATTTATCAAGTTTTTCTATCATATATCCTCGATCACATTTTCCTTTGTTTTAAAAAATATTATATATATATCCTCAATCATTGGTTAAGTATAAAATTATTATATTTTTTATTAATTAATGTTAAAAAATAAAAATTAATATTTATTAAAATAATTATTTAATTAAAATAATTTATGTAGCATTAAAAATAAAATTAATAATAATTTTTATATTTTTTAATATTAATACATATGATCAAAGGAAACAGGAAAAGGGTTCAGAAAATAGAGACAGAAAGAGGGAGGTTAATCAAATGAGTCGGTCTTAAATGGCGGGCATAGGGCGGCCCTTGTCCACATAGATAAAGTTCCTATAGGGATTGGCGGAGCCCGGAGGGCCGGGCCTAGTAGGTGAGGGCCGTGACGCTCCGTGGGACCCCTGGCCCAAGCTACATTTTTTTTTTAAAAATATTATCCTTAGGAAAATGGAAAGAACATGTGTAGATTCTCAAACTTCTTTGGTAAACCATACGTGACTTTGAGGCTCTCTTAAATTATTCGAATTTTGACGAGAGAGGATGCAGTTGCGAACTGTACTTTTTTTTTTTTTGAATTATTGATGAAGAGGTGGCCCTAAATTATATGAAAGAGTCTGTATTTATATCAATTATTATAAAAAGTGTAATTTACATGTGATGAATTGTATTTGAATTTTTTAATGTTGATAATATAGAAAAAATTGAGAATGAAAAAAATTCAACTGCTAATGTTAGGAGGGTGAAAAAAATTGCAGTTTTTAAGGGAGAAGAATTTCAAACAAATCATTCCACCTGTGACTATTGAGAATGGAGAACAAATCAGCTATGAGAAGGCCACCAAAGCACTGAGAAGGGCTGTTAATTTTTTCTCTGCATTGCAAGCTAGTGATGGCCATTGGGCCGCAGAAAATGCTGGCCCATTGTTTTTCCTTCCACCCCTGGTGAGCCCGTTGTTGGAAAACTACACATTTTCCTAAATATAAATCCATCTTCATATATCATGCCATGTGCTAATTATAGCTGCTGTAGGTGTTCGCCTTGTACATCACAGGGCACCTCAATACCGTATTCCATGCAGAGCATCGCAAAGAAATCCTTCGATACATATATTATCATCAGGTATATAGACTACAGAAGCATGCATGTTTATCTTTTTAATTAGATGTCTTGTCGAGTTTTGAATTGTTGATGCATTTTTGTGCTTTGTAGAATGAAGATGGTGGCTGGGGATTGCACATCGAAGGTCATAGCAGCATGTTTTGTACTGCTCTTAGCTACATTTGCATGCGTATTCTAGGAGAAGGACTCGATGGTGGTCTAGATAATGCTTGTGCAAGAGCACGCAAGTGGATTCTCGACCATGGCAGCGTCACTCACATACCTTCATGGGGAAAGACTTGGCTTTCGGTATGATGACCAATTTTAATTAATAGTTGTTATAAATTTGCTATAATTTTGGATTATAAGTGCAAATTTCATGTTTACTATTTTTTTGTTGCAGATACTAGGTGTCTTTGACTGGTCTGGAAGCAACCCGATGCCCCCAGAGTTTTGGATCCTTCCTTCCTTCCTTCCCATGCACCCAGGTTTGTCCCATCTTACATGCTCTACTTGTATGACTGAAGACTATCACCTGTAATTGAAAACTTTGCTCCCAAAATTGGCTTTAATTAAGTTACCCTTTTGGTTTGAATCGGGAAGCAATTTAATGCTTCATGGTTTCTGGATATTAAGATTGTTGAAGTTTTTTTCTTTCCCCTTGTAATGTGCAGCTAAAATGTGGTGCTATTGTCGTATGGTTTACATGCCTATGTCATATCTTTATGGGAAAAGATTTGTGGGACCAATCACACCACTAATTCAACAATTAAGAGAAGAACTTTACCTTCAACCTTACAATAAAATTAATTGGAGGAAAGCACGCCATTCATGTGCTCCTGTAAGTTATTGTTCCAAGTTAGAGATATACCATAGTACATTTCTTATGTTCAATGTTACTAATAGAGATTACGGTTTTTCAAAATTGGTATTGTAGGAGGATCTTTACTACCCACATCCATTGATACAAGATTTCATGTGGGATAGTCTGTACATTTTGGCCGAGCCATTTCTTACTCGTTGGCCTCTTAATAAATTGATTAGAGAAAAGGCTCTGCAAGTAGCTATGAAACACATTCATTATGAAGATGAGAACAGTAGATACATCACCATTGGTTGTGTGGAGAAGGTAACGTTTCTATTTAGAAACTAATTTATGGGAAAGAGGAATATTAATGTTATTTGATGAAATATCGCTCTGATTTCACTAGTAATGACCAGGTGCTATGCATGCTTGCTTGTTGGGTGGAAGATCCAACTGGTGATTACTTTAAAAAGCATCTTGCTAGGATCCCAGATTACATATGGGTTGCTGAAGATGGAATTAAGATGCATAGTTTTGGAAGTCAAGAGTGGGATACTGGTTTTGCTGTTCAAGCTTTACTTGCTAGCAATCTCATAGATGAAATTGGACCTATACTTGAGAGAGGACATGATTTCAT